GGTCAACGAGACTTAAGTAATCGTTGGACACTTGTACAACCACTCGTAACGTGATTAGCTGGAGTGTTGCTAAACACGAAACACAAAGTCTGTAGCAAAACATGTTTTGGACTTCTGCATCTCCAGACATAGGTATTTCACTTTTGTATTTTTACATGGACAAGCGTTTTGACAGGAGTTGTGAGTCTTCAACTTCTACCACAGCAACGAGCTTTCATCATTTTTCTTTGAAGTGATAGTGAAACTCCTGATGAGATGGGGAAATCCATACAGTAGTCTCTGACGTGACTTCTATTGCAAAGTAAAGTATCAATCGAAGAGCTGGAATGGGAGAATGGGAGTCGGAGACATGAGTACAACAGATACTGAACAAACACAGAGCACTTAGAATACACGCATTACCCCATTTCCCTACTAATTTCATCACATCGTAAAGTACAACCTGCAAGTGTTTGTAACTCAGTGCCACTAATGATGGAATCTAAAAGCAGCAATGCACATCTGCTCACTTTTCTGCATACCCGGTGCCGGAGCCTATCGTAACTAATTAACTACTGTATAGTTAGGGTAACCCTAGGGCAATAGGCGTTGGCACAAGAAAATTGAAGAATTTAATAGAGTAGAGGAGGGATAAAACGAGCATGTAATATCATTGCAGGTAAGTAGATAGGTGGCCATAATGCAACATCAATATCAATAGCAACAACACTTAAGAGAAAAAAGGCGAAACGAAGAGGGAGAGCAGCGAAAGACAAGAGGAGAGACGAGGATCGAGGGGAGGGAGATGAAGGAGCAATGATAGCTTTGTACAAGGCTGCCGAGGCGATAGTAGCAAGAGGATGCAGAGAACATACTCCTTAATCCGGCTGGTAAACGGAACACTTGGGAATAAAGTCAAGCCGGAGTACCTGTGTATGGAACAGAAAATATGAGGCGAAAGATAGGCACATTCATAAGTTGTGCAGTGTGCAACAAGACTAAGCAAAAGGAAGCAAATTCGGGTGACATAAGAAGATAGTTTCGGTTCAAACGATACAGCTAATCGATTAAACCCAAAATGACAAAAACTAATCGCCCATCACAAAGAATCCCGTAATACAGGGACGTAACAAAGTAAGAGTCAAGTGATTCAAAAAAAACTAATACATTGCTTACATATTCCATCAAAACGACCGGTTCTGAGGATCTCTGCTTAGCTAGACTCCAGTTGAGTCCAAGCTGGCAGTAGAGGCGAGCATTCTCGAGCTCAAGTGTCTTCTCAATGTTTCTTTTTACCTTGCGATTTACACAAATTGCTGGCCACATGGAACACCCAAGGGTGCAGAAGCAGCAAATAAAGCCGCATAAGAGCCACTTGAGATTAATAGACATGGAGCGCCTGAGTTGGTTGTTGACCTTTAGAATGGTTTCCTGGAATTCTTCTGGGGCCACCTTTCCGTGCAATTCTGGAGGAAATTCATTGCTAAATGTATTGTTCATTCCAAAGCTTGGGGAATAATAATAAAGGCCACCTACATTGTTATGTCACCACTACCACGGATAATGATAGGATCAGCCTTATTGATGGGGACATATGCTTCGGGGATCTCATAGATTACTACATCGAGATCGACCATCCGGAAAAAAGCTACGTATGTACACACTAATAGCTCCCAGACCGCACAACCCCGAAGCTTCGCTAATACCGCCGGGTCTGCAGCAAAGCAAAACAGAAAATAATGCCTAGTGTTTTTGCCTACAAAATGCTTAAGCCAAACTCTACACAATTCACCAAATTTTTTTTAGTGTGTTAAAATTTTATCTGCTATTTAGGTTTTAAAGCAGAATAATGGCATCAAAATGTTTTCTGGCTTCTCAAAACTTGTGAAGAGATGCTACATTCTTCTACCAAAGTCATTAGTAGAGCAAACAGTTATTATTTAATAATTTAAATAAGTGAGCTTTGTATCAAGAAGACAAATGCGTTCGATGCCACATTGCCGAAAGGTTGTTTAGTAATATAAACCTCAAAGTCTCGTAACTTTTAGCTGTTGATGAGGTTGTCATAAAACCTAAGACAAAATGTTCTATTTAAAGTCTCAGGACTGCCTATTAAGGAGCGTAGTGTAGAGGTGGGTACTTGCATGGCTCGAGGCCTAGTCTATCGCATATGCATCAGATGACCACCAAGGGGACCATCACTCAAACAAGCAGTTAAGTAAACAGTGTTGTATCTATAATTACAGTTAGATCTGAACCAAAAAACTTATGGACTGTAGTTTTATCGAGCTCAGACCGCATGCGGAAGTGCACACCCCTCCTCTAAGGGTAAACAATCACT